AGAAAGATAAATGGTGCGAAGAGTACTACATCTGTAGGCTCTTAGATTTTTTTAAAGTGTAACAGTGCACGTGCAATTAACAATTGCATCATTTCTTTAAATGGAAATGTATATTGTTTGTTCCACAGATCGATTCATCTGCTCATTCTACGTAAAAAATTATTGGGGTACCATGACAACAAAATTATTAGTTCTCGAGATATTTCCAAAAAATGTCTTTATTGAAGAATATGCTCAAACGCTTCTCCATTACATTGTAAACATTTCTGATAACGTTTTTTTATTGGTTTCATAACTTTGTTTAAATTATCTATGTTATTCTTTTTTATTTACGTTTACTACATAGTCACGAAGCGTTTGAGCATCTTCTTCAATAAAGACATTTTTTGAAAATATCTCGAGAACTAATAATTTTTTGGCGATGATATCCTAATTATTTTTTACGTAGAATGAACAGAGGAATCGATTTGTGCAACAAACAATATGCATTTCCATTTAAAGAAATGATGCAATTGTTCATTGCACCAGCACTATTGCACTTAAAACAAATCAATTTCTCCTTTGGCATTTTTTTATAAATGCAGTAATAACGGAATTATGACCTGAAACAATTGGGTGGACCACCCTGTATACACTGCTTGCAGAACGCTTTCACAGTACGAATAAATCATATCAATGAAACTTTAAAGTGCACCATAATGGTGTCCCAATTTAAATCTTCTACAAGTTGCACAGTAATTGAAGAAAGCATTTCCATTAATTTTTAGCTGAGTGCAGAAACTATGATGGGCTTCGCTATGGAATAGTAAATTAATAATAATTTTATTTATAATTTCATAAAATTCATAAAGATTCTTTCGTAACATATGTATTCTCAAAACAAATTTTTATTTTATCGTCACGGATCCAGTTTCTGATCAGGATCCAATTCCTAATCAATTTAGTATACATATAGACACCATATAATAAGTTTATTATAATAGAAGTTTTCTTTGAAAAATGGCTAAATAATTATTAACTAATGTGAAATTTATACGTTAAATTTGATAGCTCAGGGTGAGATACAAATATATGATTTATCAGAAATTGCTCCCCTTGCACTTTTTACCGTAAAAGTTAAATTATGATTTAATTATTACTATTTCTGCACTTTTGTTAATACCAAATTAAAGATAAAACATAGATTTATTTGAATAACAACAATTCTTTTGTATTTCGTTAATTTGTCTACATACATATATGTTAAAAAACTACGATAGTTACTCTTTAGTAATCCAGAACTGGGTACGTAACGGTAATAGTCAAAATGGTGGAGGATTATGAGAATCTATACAAGTAATCCACCATATTGTGTGAAATTCAATATTTATTTTCGAGAAAATCAGAAGCCTATGCTGTTTCATTGATCTTCGTCCTCTTTCTTAAATGTTCGTCACCATTTTGAAAGAAGAAAAGGTACAAAGATGTTTTAAACTTGAACTGTGTTACCAGTTTATTACAAATAAATAGTGAAATACTTATTAGTACATCTAATATGATGTTTCGAAACGAATACAGAGTTTCACAAAGAATAGTGGATTACTTATTGGTACACCTAATGCTTGTGGCGTTCCAGCAAACTGATACATTGGCTTAATGTATTTCAGACGAATTAGCGACTGCTAGTACGTTCTGTTGCTGGTATTAAAGGGATAAGAGGTATACTTTACTGTCCTACCTAGTTACCTTGCCGCACAATCTCTCGTTTCATTGTTCTGCGTTTGTTTCACGTTCGCTTTATTCCCATTACCTGCTTCGAAGCTAATGGGGAATGAAATACAGAGCTCCAAGCTAATGAAACGAACATCTGCGGGGAAGACAGAAAAAGACGAAAGACGGAGATAAAGTATTATAAATTTTATCATTTGTTCAGTTAAAATAATAATCCCCTTTCTTTAACTGGCTGTATGTTTCTAAACATTTTTCCTATTTTCATTGATTATAATTTGCTACTGTGATTGAACTATTTAATAATAGTTCCTTGGCTGTTGATTGTTGGATCAACTAAAGCTATTAACCATCAAAGACCACAACATGGGTAGCCGTAACTGCGAACGTTCTTTCGCCTACATGAGGCGTTTTTTTTTAAAGTAGTATAAGTTCAATTTTTAAAAAAATGAGTTAAGGCCTGTTTTAGTTAGACATGGATGTCTTCTTTCCATATTTATAATAATACAATGGTGTACAATATCTTCATGAATTCGTCAAAAGAATTGTAACTGTTAATTATTAGAAGAATGTTTTTTTCACAGTCCATTCGTAATAATTTATAATTAAAACAACTTTCTATTCGTGTTAATTATTAATTATTACAAATTCTTTGTGCACCACCCTTAAAGCCTTTACAGCGGCTAATAAATAATGTCTTTAAAACACAATGTTATAAACAAGATAACTGTGTTAAGTGATAAGAAGTTAACGTGAGAATTATTCGAATAATAGTTTACTTTTGGTAGTTGTTTTATTATAAATTCTTTTATAATATAACTATTAAATACTTGTTAATAAAGTAACTGTTACGTTCACTTATAGGTCTTCGTTTTAATTAGTATTTTTTATATTAAAAAAATACATTTCAGAAAAGCAAACAAACTAAAATATAGATTTAAAATTGGTATTGTTCTTGTTTTTCAAAATCTGTTAGTATTGAAAGTTGGTGTAAGTCCATTTGTAGCTAAAGAAAACCTCGCACTTTCTTTAATAAGTTTATCAATTGTTATTATATAACAAAATTTAACATGTTTATAGTTTTTAAAGCATTACCCGAATTTATTAACGTTTGCCAATATTTTTTAGTTAATTCAAACGCAAACCCTTAAATATCTGAATGTAGGAATAAATGTACTTATACCACTTTAAAAACATGGCTCATATGTCAAATATATGGGGTGAGTCACCTAACCTTTACACCTCAAATATCTTTGTTGTTTTTAAAGATACATCAAATATCTTTAGGATAATGTTGAATGGTTCAATGGGGCTCACACGGTGTCAAATTTTTGTTTGTTTTTTAGAGATATCAAGGTCACCTTCATTTTTAAAAATGGAATCACCCATTTTTCCGTGACCTTGAATGACCTTGAATAATTATAGTCACTGAATTCCTAATGAAAGGGACTATTATTGTAGGTGTTCAAAAAAGGGTAATTCCATTTAAGAAAATGAAAGTGACCTTGATATCTCTTAAAAAAATGACATAAAAACAAAAATTTTGTTAGTATTGTGTGAGCCTCATTAAACCATTCAACATTGTCCTGAAGACATTTTACATATATTTAAAGACAAAGATATTTGAGGTGTAAAGGTTAGGTGACACACCGTGTATAAGTAAGTTAGTCACAAATCTTTTGATAAAACACCACAGCTCTAACTCCCACCCTTTACCGTTCAGAAATGCCAGGTGCTTTTAGGACGGGCTAGGTTACCGTAACCCAGTGTGGTCTTCGAGGGTTAAATATAATAGTAGCTGGTAGGTGTTATGTTAAAATCTTTATTTTACTGGGTTGTATGTTAAAATTTCCTATAAATTCATAAACATGTGGAATCTACTCATAAAATAATAAATCATTTATGAGTACAGTTGCAATGTTATAAGATCACAGGGAATATTATGAAAACAAAACCTCTTTATGCGAAGTAACACGAAAAGAATGAACTACTTCATCATAATAAAAGTAGTTTATTTTTTTCCTTTCATTCGTTCTGTCTAATGAAAGTAATACATTTCAAATGTCCATTTAGCAATTGGGAAAACAATCCGCACATATGTGACCTGTACGATACAAACCGCGCGCTATTAATGATCGCTAAGTGTGCCTTCGGCAAATTGACGAGGTTATCGAGGGATAACTAAATGGATGGCCAAATTGTTATAAGCACGCTGCTAACAGCATGTTTATGTATGTGGGAAACAAGCAGATGGGGAACAGCGCTTCGAGAATGGAGTTCGAGGCGGGCATTAATAAATGATACAGTGCCAAAGTGTTCGAAAAGCACGAAGTGACCTCTATGACATTAGTATTAGAGTAGTGTTCATGACTTATTGTTAGGTGGATCTATAATTTAATATAATATAATATCATTGTTAGCAGTAGACTGCGCAGCTTTATGGAAATACTAATCTTTAAAGATCTAGGTACTTCCAAAAATTAGATATAGAAATTTCTTTACTTTGTTAAAGATTCCATCAGGTTTTGCATAAAATTAAAAATTGTAGAAGAAATTTATTGAACTTTTGGATATACTAAATTTTATACAATCAGTCCTTAACCCTTTCATTCCCAAATTATCTAACAATTAGGAACAAATATTTCTTTTTGCAATTTCGTCTGTATTAGACGAGATATAAATGATTCACAAGAACATTTAACATTTTGAAAGCGTTTAGTGCCATTTCTGATTCGTTGCCATTTGGCAACGTTTTTTATTTTATCACAGTTATGTATAATAATTGACCTTATGTCGTTATAGTCGTGGTAACATGTCTGAATGTATACTTTTCTACTCTAATCGTTGCCAATGTTAGATATAGGGATTCCCATTTGAAATTTTCAAGTTGACCTTCAACTGATCTTGAACTTTGACCTGGAGATCAAGGTCAAGGTCACTGTCAAGTCCTCCTTTTTTAATTTACCGACTTTTGTATTAAAGTTTTGTCGAAAACTTAATCCCCCAAAGTTACCCAGGGGTTTTCATTTTTTTCCCACCCTGTATATTTTAGTTTTTTTTGGACTTATTGTCTAAACACAGAGTTAATAAACAGTAAATACTGTCTACTATTTATTAAAGTTAATTATTGTTGTAAATAAGTTTTCAAAATAAAAGTTTTTCCTGAATAACCCGACTACTTGAATTGTGGTAGAGTTTATCGCTTTCTTTTAATTTTGTTAACTTAGTGGCGCTTACGAAAAAGGGAAGAGTAATCTTTTGAAGTCTTTCTTACTTAATTCATTTCAACTTACTTGTATGTAGGGCTGAGGTTGCTGAGAAGAGGGTGGAGGAGGAGGGAGAGGGCCGCCAGTTACCGCTGCATCCTGTTGAGGAGACGTCCGCGGCGGCTCTGAAACATCGAGCCATTTAATTATCAGTGAAACGAATTGTATTACCATTATTAAAACTGATATAATCTTGCATTTTATATTGATGTTATATTTTATTATAAATCATCCCGTTACTCACCAAAGTGACTAACTTGACTTTTCGAATTTTTTCAAATTTTAGTGTTAAAGCACCTAATTGGTGCTTAATTTATTATATAATTAATTTTCTCTAATGATTGCTTTGTGGATTTAATTACTTTGGCAAACGGGCGATTGAAATGTTTCTCATAAATTATTCGTTTGCTAATAGCAATTACTTCTATTTGTGCTTAAAAATTCTGAACTAGAATTTTTTATTTATACGTTTTAAATAATCATAATATGTTCGATGTTTAATAAGTAATGGTACTACTATGGCGTTGTATTTTTTTGCAAAAATAAGTCGAAAATGTGGGATAAAATTGTGTCATATCAGGCTTTGCTCTCAAGTAAATCGATGTCGCATATAATTTCGTACATATACACCTGTGCATAGCTTACCTCCCACTATAATTTAATACGAGTTGGTAGTTAGAAGACGGTAAGATCAATGCATAATTCCATAGAACGAATAGAATGATTACTATGAATTCCAAGTAGAAATAGTAGATAACAGTCAGACACAGTAATTGCTTGTATGGATGTTTGTATTATCCATTTTATGAAGAAATAAAAAACCTTATACAATTTACTGAACATCTACTGTCTTCGAAGTACAGTTCGAATTTATTCGAATCTCATCGCATGTCACTAATTACTTTCTTCTTTTTTATAAAAATTGCAAGGAAACAATACGAGTGTATAGAAAATCTGCATTATCTACGCATCAAGCAAAAATATGTTTAAGAATTATCGAACCAAAAAGACAGAAAACTTATTTCACTGACGTAATAAAATTATAAACTTACATTTATATAAAAATGAGATACTTATTGAAAAGTCGAAGAACCCAACAGAAATCGTACTCGAAAACATAAAGGTCTAATATATTTTCAAATTTTATTGTTTTGAAAACAGAGTTCAGGTTAGAAAATGATACTGTACATTTACCACTTATTTTTTCGTATACATAGAATCACTCCCTTTCAAACTGTATTTACCACACGTTTAACCATATCTAAACTTATTAATTAACATTTATAAAAATTTACATCTGTATCGTTCTTGTTTTTAATTACTTTCACGGTGTTTATCTAATATGAACTAGAAGTTTAAATTATTTACAAAAACACATTATAAATCCGCGATGAACTTTTACGAACATCATTATGCAAGTCTACACACGAAACTCATCGATGATTTCAGCAAATGATTTCCAGGTTGCCTACTCTTATTTTTAATATTCAATTCAGCGTACATGTATTGTCGTAATATTAAACTAATTGATACATATTTGTAACAATTATTATATACTCAATAAGTCATTCTGAACTTACGCATATACGATTATTCTGTCACCAGTCATAAACTGATTTGTCATGAATCACTTTTTTCTTGTAATGTCACTCAAGAAATTAATATACACTGTATATTAGAACACTGATTCAAAACTGGAGAGAAAATCGTGTTTGACGATTACTGCTTCCGGATTTTATATCGCAAATATTTTACGTAATACAAATAAACCGACTTTATACAAACGTTTGTTAAGTTTTACACTGTCCTGTTTATCTGTTAGAAACATATGGACTTTTCCCTCGAACGAATTGAAGTATCGTAAGCGTCTCGGAACAGTTAACAACTTTTCGCGTGTTCGACCGTAACAGCCTGAGCATTCCTGAGTGTGACAGTTTGAAGGTTAGGTTCGAACTGACCGCACGATTTTTTCGCGACGCGCGTCAGCGTATCAGCGATCGACAGGGAAATTCGGCTTCAGCTAGGAGAACAAGTGACATAGGAGAAAGACCTCCTACCACTTGGTAAATTTATTTCAAGTACTGAAATAAACGTTGAATCGAATGTTAATCTTGCATAAATTTCAATAATTCCCGATACCAAATTCTAGAAGGCCCTTCCCCTACGCCACTTATTCCCCTAGTGGAAGCCGAGTTTGCTCGTGAATGTACGTGAGTGGTTGACAATTTTTCTGGAGGGTGGAAAGGGACGATTCTTCCAGGACGAATTGAACGCGGGATAATTCAAATGTACATAGGGTGAATGCACTAGTAAATGAATGCGTAGCAGTGAATGAACATTACTTATAAAAACTAGTAAATTAAGTTACTAAAATAAGGAAATGATTAAATATTGATTTTTTATTAATTAATCATTTTCGCGCCACTGGTTAGGAATGTTGATTTATCTTTGCCTTTTTAATTTAATTAATTACATTATCCTAATTTTTCCAATTGAAATCTATATGTATATCATAAAAAAATGTAAATATTAAAAAATTTAATTTCCGCATGCGAAATATTTATTAATATTATTATCATTATACAATTTCACATTAATAGTTACAAAATCTCTTAAAAGTTCGTTCATTTGTGCGTTTACTCTATTATAGAAAACAAATACACATTAAAAATTTAATGAAATAAAAGTAGTATCTAATTAACTTAATACGTTCGCTAAGTATCAGCGTCACATGTTTATGTATGCGTGACACTTCAATTTCTAAATTAGCGTACTTTGTTAAATAAAGACTGAATATGTTGTGCAATATTAACATATATTTTATGTTATACTTTCCCTCTGTTTTTGTAACTTTTGTACAACCAGTGTGTGTATAAACTTTTTAACTAATACGCAACAACAAGTTCGTGTATCTCTTTCTAAAAATGTTCTTTATTTTCAAGTTGTTTTCCTCAGCTGTGACACAATTAAAAAGGTTTCTTCTGTATTTTAAATGAAGTTAGTTTATGAACAAGTAAAATACTGACAGAGAGATAATTGACAAGTTTTTAAAATACATAATTTGAATTTATAAACTGCACGCCATAGAAAGTTTATGTGTACTCAGACTGTCCTGTAAGTGATGGTAAAACCTGAAAGGGATGGTTTTATATAAAAATGTGAGTTAAAACTATAAATAAATTTTCTATACGGACCTCTGTTTTTAATATAAACAAGTTTGAAAAATGTATGCTTTTTACTGTGTCTGACTATTATTCAGTTTTTCTACTTGCAGTAAGCCTGGTCATATTTACTGTACTGTATATCGACATCATCATATTCTAAGTACCAGTTTGTATAAAATTAGTGCAGGAAACAAATAATATCATATTATAAACAATATTTATAAACACGAATTTAAGTAGAAGTAACCAGTAATTGGCAAGTAAATGAGCTAAATGATGTTCAATTGCATGCGTATCTATTCGATAATATTTTGAACAAAAATGTAATTGAAAACGAAGCCCAATATGGAGAAATTTTATTCGAAATCGCCCCTTCCTCGCTTGTGACACAATTTAACAAAACTTGGAATTTAAATAAAACCAAAAGCAGAAAAAAATATTTTTAAACCTAATAAATCCAGTTATACAGGGTGTTCGCAGAAACAGTATACAGTCCGTTATTTTCTAAACTATTTGAAATACAAGAAAACTTTTTTCATAAAATTGAACGGCATGAGGGGGATAGTTAACGGGCCATGGCCCATTTTTTTAACTTTATTATTTCAAGAGGTATGAAGGTCAAGTTTGGTTTTGTAAATGGAATTGTATATTTTTTTTTATAACCAGTTGTGTACAAGTTCCGAGCAAATTACCAGCAATAAATGACAAAAATTGTGTAAAAAACCATATCCATCTGTTTTCGCGTTTGACTTGGGTTTTGCAGACAACGCCAGCTGACAAAATGGTAAAGCAAATTGACAGATAATCTTGCAACATGACCTATGTCAAATTGAGGGCAAAACCGGAACAAGGTTGGCGCAAGCCAAGTTGCTGCATATGTTGTTGCCAATATGCACGCAAATTGTTTATAGCAAATCTTGCGTCAAACTTGTAGCCATAACTTTATCACAGGTACTGGACAAAATTTGGCTTTCTAGGTTTGGCTGACTGGGCAAATACTGTCATCTCATGTACCTAAATATTGTCACTTTTTTAGGTTAGGTTGCACGTAACTGTAGATGGTATTGGTGGTATTAATAGCGTAAGGCTTTGTTTTTGTACGCGTTTACTGCCATGATAGTAATTAGAAAAGTATTGAAACGTTGTACCAATCCCAGATAGCACATGACGCCTTGAAGACGGCTTAAAGACGCCTTAGACCTAAAATAGCCGTAAAATTTAGGCGTCTTTAAGGCTTCATCTGCTATCTGGGAGCACTATAACCCAAATATTAGACTAAACAACTTAGTGAATCGTTGAATTATGATCATTATTTTCCACGATCTTTATATTATCTAAAACATTACATTTTATTACGTTACTAGCTCAAATATTACAATTATAGCCATCTCTTTAGTACTTTATTCCCTTTCGCTAGTAAGGAAGTCGTCGTTTTTACTCTATCAATCAACTAAAAATTTTTGATCATTTTACAAAAATTAATGAGAAAAGGAAATTAAGTGCTGCTTTTTTTATCGTATGAATTACAGTTTTAGTTCCATGCAGAATTTTCTTTACATATATCTTTACAACGTGTATTTGTTATTTTAAGTAATACAGTCTAGAATGACAGTATAATTCGGTAGGTGGCAGTAAATGGGTCTTTTATCCTATACTGATCGTGCGGACACCCTGTAGAATATATATGGTCAAATACAAAAGGTTGAAAGTTGAAGATTTACCTAGTGTACGGAAGATGATTGATCGGCTTTTATATTTTTTGCCAGCTCTGACGGCAGTAACAGCCAGTTGGTACTGCGTGTCGGCTCGGAGTCCGCTCAGCGTTACAGCTTCGCTGTTTCCCGCGACCTCCGCCACCACCCTGTAACTAACCATCTTACCATTGCGTTTCGATGTTTACAAGTGCCTTAATGATAATACAATTCTTAAGTGTTATTACGATTTTCGATTCACGATCAACCCTTCTGCAGACTAATACATTGTTATTATATATGAATTATTTTTAATTGCAATGATAAGGATGTTTATGCAAATATTGACATTTTCCATTAATTTTTCGAAATCGAATGCAAAGAAAAATTTATTTATCTTCTAAAGGTTCATGTTCGAAATGAAAAGAAAATCTGAATAAAGTTTTAGAAATTTTTTACTATATTGAATTTTACACGATCGGATATTCTATAAATGCATAACATCCGCAATCTAGTAATGGGAAATCTTAACTAAAATTTGTAAAAAAAATTGACTCCCATTATTAATGCTTTCGAAGGTTCAGTTATAGGGGTTACTGTAATCTGATACGACTTTTGGCAGTAGGAGTTGTAGAGGAAGCACCAGTAAACGTGGGAACAAAAAGAACAGCTAAATGGGTGACTTTGTTAAAGGACTTAGAGTAACGGTTGAGGCGACGTGTTTGGGGTGTAATGTCAAACTTCAGGGATTTTGGGATACGTTTTCCTGTTATCCGCTCGAGCCCATTTTTTGCACGTACTAGCTTTTCATGGATTGGAATCATTCTAGGGGATGAGATCGAAAAAATTCGAAGGTCGAGAAATAAGGATCGCCCTAATACACACAGATCACACTTTGTTATTTTTCCTAAAGTTCTTTCCAAACAATATCCCTTTAACAAAAATAACTCCAGAAACCATTACCAGAACAGATTCTAATGGTTTTCGTTTATTTTTGAATAACCTGAGGCTTGAAATTGACGAACTTACAAAAGATAACAGAACTAAATACAGAACCAACAAAAGCAAATTAAACTTTTACTTAAAACTTCAGGAAACATATAATCGTTCGTATGGATATTTATGATAGATCAAAGAGTTTCGAATTTTTGGAATTGCACTAAACAATTTTAAAATTTAACATTTACTCTAGTACTAAACTGCGAAAAGGCTAATGATCATAAACACTTTCTTATGGCTATTTATACACAGTGTCCCATTTAAATAGATACCCTCGAACATTTCTGAAATTATTTGTGATACAGGAAAGTGTTTCAGACAAATGTTAAATGGTATCGAGGGGGCCATAATTTGATTTTTTTTCTTAATGGTTGTATCTCCAAATACTAATAACAATTAAAAATTTCTGTTGATAATAAGATAAAATTTGGTTAAACATTGTAATAAATAGCTATTCAATAGATGATATTATAGTGTGTTTGATTATTTCACTACTTTCTTGCTTTCATAATATTAAACAGAGACCATAATTATTATAATCGCAATTTACAAAGTGACGGTATAAGAGTTAATATCTTTATGTGAATGATTTTGGTTATGAATAACCATTATAAATTATTAAAACCTATTTTAACTTAAAATATACAAATTCCACAATTCATTTTGCGTCACTGATTGATACGTTAATAAAAATTGACGATGGTCGAAGGTAACCAAAATAAAATTCTCGCCATCGATAATGGTTACGTGCAATCAAAAACAATTTCCATCATTGATAGTGGTTATTCGTAATCACTGTAATTTCCGTAGCCAATAATGGTTATTTGCAACCAAACAAAAATTCTGTCATGCATTGTTATTGGTGACCAAAAAAATTTTGATCATTTATAGTGTTTATTCCTAACCAGAATAGTTAAAAATTCATATTTTTATTCACGTCATTTTTTGAAAATTTGTTCATCATTTATTAATACCTGGTTTCCATTTAAATAAAAATTACTTTTTACCAAAAAATATTAAAAATAACTGTTATTTTTGGTCTCTGGTATGAAACTTCGTAAACATTAAATTCAGATTTTTCAGTTTAGAAACTAGTGGAAATAGAACAACTAAAAACTAAAGCGGCGATATGCGTATATTTCACTATCTTATTTTATTCTAATGCGTAATAACGCATGTAAACATGTCGTCGATACCCTTAAGAATAATTTAAAATAATAATTAATTCCGAACCATGCATCGATTCCTCCATGTTAATTTTAACACGCACGCGATACGTTATAATAATCTGTCAGGTTAAGTGAATCTGTCAAGCCAATATAAATGACTGCTGTAACTTCAGTGTCAAGGTCATATACAAAACTAAACTTATTTTCTGTCAGGAGACAGAAATACACCCCCATTCATAAGCATTAGGACACTGTTTCGACTAGAGAAAACGTGACGTTTCATACTGACTGCGTATTCTGCACCATTTTTACGATTGTATGTTTGTGAATGTACATTAACTATTAAGCTTTAATATTATCTAGACAGTATGTATCAAATAGCATCGATAATTTTGTAATGACTCTCCAGATTTCTTTCACTTTTGATAAATATGCTAATATTTACGAACAGGAGTATATGCCATCTCATTTTAAAAATTACAATGATTTTTAAATCTTGGATATAGTATTTTTCTGTATCATATAAATATATATCTATTATATATATTATATATATTTTCTGTATTAGTTAAAAAAAACTGAGGTATTTGAAATAATTAAATACATTGTAATACAGGGTGTCCCAATATGGATGGTACAACCGGGGAAGGGGTGATTCTAACCTGCAAAAATAAGTCGAAAATATAAAATAAAGTTTTTTTTATTTAAGACTATATTTTCGAGAAAATCGACTTTGAAAATCTGTTGGCTACGCGTGGAATTCAATAGGACTTGGCTAGCGCGTCTGTTCATTGTATTTCTATTCTACTTACTGCTATGACGAATACACACGTTTCAGATTAATATTCAAAGCCGATTTTTTCGAAAACGAAGCCCCAAATGAAAAACACTTATTGCATATTTTCGACTTATTTTCTCATGTAGAATATCATAGATAGAATTCTACTTATGTAGAATCACCCCTTCCCCGGTTGTACCATCAATACTAGGACACCCTTACAATTTATGATTAATTATAAATAGTGAATTATAGATCTTTTCATTTATTCGCTGAACAAGAATAGTTACATTTTACTTTAAAAATTACTAGATCTAAAAAATTATTAAAGTAAAAGAATTTATTGACTGCGATGATTATTTTGTTTAAAAGAAGAGACTACAGTAATAGAAAACAGGATGAACAGTAACGTTGTAAATTTGCATTCATTACCTACAGTTGCTCAAATTATAAGTTTAAATAATTAAATTATAGGTCAATTGTACGTTTAAAATTATACGTTTAGAAATAAAAGGACTATTAGGTAATTTTCTTTTCAATAATGTATAAGCTACCAATGCCAGCAGACGATATACGCCTGGTTTTCTTTATAAGAGTTGTCTTCTTTTTAATGTTAATTATTTCAAATTTACATTTATCATTAAACATTGCTGGATTTCGGAACTCCTCCGGTTTATTAATATACTCTTTTGCAAACCCATAATTTTATAGAAAATTCGCTTAAGTAGGTATTCTACTGTAGTCGGTCAAAAGAATCGATTTTCTTTTCCTTGCATTTTCTTACACCTTGTCGTCCTGACAATATGTTTCTGAAGCATGATAGCGAAATTCATAAAATTGTCAAACCTACAAAAGAATACCGCATACAAACTTTAAACGCATTTTTCTCATAACCGTGTTTTGGGAAATGGTTGCCATATCTCAAATTCTATCGTCTGTACAAGAATTAAGCCAAAATATTTTTCTTTTTTAATTTTACAGTCTGAAAAAGACGAAAAAAATCGCAAAATTTTTTAATATTTCAACCCAAATCTGGTACCTGCGATAGCCATATCCAAATAATTTAAGAATCTTGTTAGTTTTCTTTTTTCAGATGAACAAAAAGATCAGAATTATGGCAACTAATCGAGCAATTTTTTTCGATATAGTCGACTTTCGTGGGTTGCAGCGATATCTATATTTCATATTTTCAATCAAGCAAAATTTTCATTTATAGTTCAAGATACAATAAATATACAGGAGAATATTTCAGCATAAAGATCTTTCGTTAAGTCCTTAAACAAAATTCCTGAAAGAAGTTTTAAAAATTCCATGTCACAGTAGAATATCCCCATAATACCTATAAGGTGACCGGATACTTTTGTGACCAACTGTACCTGAACTCAGGGTATCAATCTCATAAAGTAACCTATTCCCTGAACTTAGAATTCACGGGAGCGAGTACCGCAATTTGACTAAAACAGAGAATTCTGTTATTACCACAATACTGCGTATTACGATCTGCATTTCTCAATCCTTTAGTGGCGGAACGCAATAGAATCATGGAAACATAGTGGTTGGCCAGCGGAACCGCAATAAAGCCCCAAGTTTGTAAGCCGAGCGAACAAAGCTCTATTGTCTCGATCCATTTGCCAAGGTGAAAAATGCAATTTCCAACTGTAATTTACATGAAAAGCGATTCATACGTTATACATCGTCACTCTGTTCTTCAATATTGTCTTCTATTACACTGGGGAATAAACAAAATCATTTTTTATGTTGTCAAGGGGTCATCCCACGCGAAATCGGACATTTTTTGGAACACCATTTCGAATTTTGTTCAAATTTGGATATGTTGTAATTTTTAGCGATATATAAACGTATCTCGAAGGATTTTTGAGAATTTTAAAAATTGATGATTTTATAGCTGTTTGAAATTTAGGGTTAACCTTTTTTCAATACATCGTAACTATTAAACTAACAAACTGATCAAAATGAGTTTTACGGGTACTTACAGTAAAGACATAAGAGTACCAAATAAAAATGATTTCAGTTAAAAAAAGATATTTTTTAATTATTTATTTTGCAATTGTTTTAAATAAATGCCCTGTTTTTATACCGGGGAACTATTGAAAAATTTGAAAATAATGAAGATATAGTCCTATTTGTCCTCTTTATGAACGTATCTCCGAAAATACGGACACTTTAAAATTGGCCGTATGAAAATTAATTGAAGTGAACGCTGCGTCGA